CTTAAAATCTAAACTTCCAGGCCTAAGAAGGAAATCATCTCTCTAGTCTTTTGCACCCCGTATTCCTCTCCATCCACATGACAAACAGCGCCTGGAGTCCATGTGACATTCACCCAAGCCTCCCCGTGGTCATTTATTCAGGGACTGGGTAAGAGGAGTTTTCAGCCATCTCTGCAGAAAGCAAACGGCCTTTGAGGACAAAGACATACTCCTAATAAACTAGCTGTCCAAGAAGTGTGAGCACAGTCAGCTACTTCATCAAGGTGCAATCTCCAGCCTGTGAAGCAATCTTGTCCTTTGTCCCCCGGCACCTTGGTACAATTAATTTATGACCCTTGCTGAGCTCGAGTAGAGAGCAACCACAGAATGACAGGCCATCTAATGCAGCAGGTGACATCCTGTGAGTCCTGATGCACTTCTTGTGTGCTCAGCATGGTCCCTGAGGCCCAGCCCACATCCCCAAACAGCGCCGGAGGGGGCCCAGGGCTGGTTAATTAGTTCCGTTAACTGGTTATGGTCCCTTTAGCCTTTAGGAACCGACCGCCTTAAGGAAATGCATTATCTTTCTCAGATAACAAACTACAAACGGACCTGAATTTTCTGAGCAACTTTACCAGGGAGACTGCCTCATGCTGTCTGAAAGCAGAAGGGAAAAGTGAGGCCCAGCTGTGACCCGACCTCTGAATAGAGGTGGAGGTGACCGTCCCCAAGTGGAAATTATTATTCACCTTTCTGGGTGCTCGCTGAGCGAAGCCCTCACACCAGCAGCTCACAGCACTGGCACAGACAAGCCGCGAAAATCCTGATCCGCTGCAAATCACAGGGTGATTTTTATTGTCAAAACACAACTCATCTTTAATAGGAGACCATCTAGAAGCAAGCAACCCTTCAGGTGTTTTTTTTTAGTACAATAAAAGTGAGCAGCAAATGGGCATATTTTTTGAAATTTGAAAACTTCTCTTATTTCAAAAATAAGTCTTTGAAGGCAAAACATATTTTATCACCAATACTATTTAAATATATGACCTCGGCAGGCCTAAGTGTGCGTTAAAGACAATGCTCGCGGTGTTAACCATTTAAGTGGGGAAGCGTGCACTGACAGTGAAGCTATGTGAAAATACGAATATCGGGGCGCCGGGGTGGCTCAGTCCAACTTCGGCTCCGGTCATGATCTCGCGGTCCATGAGTTTGAGCCCCGCGTTGGGCTCTGAGCTGACAGCTCGGAGCCTGGAGCCTGTTTCGGATTCTGTGTCTCCCTCTCTCTCTGCCCCTCCCCTGTTCATGCTCCATCTCTCCCTGTCTCAAAAATAAATAAATGTTTAAAAAAATTTTTTTAAATACAAACATAAACCTTATTTCTGCATTTGAGCCTTATTAATGTAAAACCATAAGCTTAAAACCTTAGGCTTTAATAACTTCTATGTAAATACTAAGGGAATGTTGCTCCAATTCAATGATCAAGCTGCCTGATGTTTACATCAGAGTGATTATTACTAATCACTCGGATGCATCACCTTGTTTTACGTGGTTTAGCAAGTGGAATGCAGGATGTCTTTGCAAGAGTTTGTTCCCCAAATAAGGAGCCCAATTATTCGTTGTAGGTACATCGACGGACTTTGGAAACGTCCACGCGCTGTGTCGTAATAGCAGTGCGCTGCAAGAAAAAGAATCTGGATTCTGTAGAAGGCAGTGTTATAAAATGGAAAACTGCCCACCAGGAGGGAAGATTTCTGAACCAGTAAGTTTCGAAGAAGAGGACAAAGGGTCAGTCACCAGTTCAGGCTGAAGAGTCGGTGGTACAAACACACAACCAGCAGAGAGAAGAGGGGCAGGAGAAACCTTGGAGGGAACCTGGCATTGAAAGGGGCTTGGAATCGAGAGAAAAAGAAGGTCTGGAGTGTCCGAGAAAAGAGGAAACGTGATACCTAAGTATACAAAATATATTTTGGTCAAACACATCTCATAAGCATTATTTGGGTATACTTTGATTGTTGTTAAAGCTTATATTCTTTTGCCTTGTGCTCTCATCGGGCTGTCCTGCTTTTATAAGAGCACCCACTTTAATAAATACATGTTTTCTTTTCTTTTTTTTTTTTTTAATTTTTTTTTTAACGTTTATTTATTTTTTTGGGACAGAGAGAGACAGAGCATGAACGGGGGAGGGGCAGAGAGAGAGGGAGACACAGAATCGGAAACAGGCTCCAGGCTCTGAGCCATCAGCCCAGAGCCCGACGCGGGGCTCGAACTCACGGACCGCGAGATCGTGACCTGGCTGAAGTCGGACGCTTAACCGACTGCGCCACCCAGGCGCCCCTGTTTTATTTTCTTAATAGAGGGAATTGTGAGCTCCTTCAGAGATGAGCCAGGGAAATCAAACTGGCAGTTTGTTCATTCAATGATTCAACAAAATTAATTGAGCAATATGTATTTTTATATCTGTGTGTTTGACTTCTGAGTGATTTTCCTGAATACGCAATCGTTTTTGTATCACCTTGAGTAACTGACATGGTATTTTGCTGCTTTATAAAGATTTGTGAAATGTAGCCAATTTTGTAGGGAAAAGCACAAGTTCATATATAACCTCCTCTGACTTGAGAAATGACTACCTGTTGGCATAGGCAGCTCAGATCATGGCTACCCAGAGTGCAGACTGTGGGCACCTGGTTGGCTCAGTCCGTAAGCCTGCAACTCTTGATCTCAGGGTTGTGAGTTCGAGACCCATGTTGGGTGTAGAAATGACAAAAAATAGATCAGTGAGCTTAAAAAAGTAAACCCAAAATGCAGACCACATTTTTATTGCTGCAAAACTCACCTGCCTGGGTTTCAAGCCAGGCATTGTTATCTGTTAGTTGTGTGACTTCAGGAAACTCATTTAACCTTTCTGAACCTCAGTTTCTTCACCTACAAACAGGGGGTAATTATAGATATGTACAATATGGTAAAGATGAGATATGGGGACAGTTGAGAATGACAAGTTCTACCTGGTAGGTGTGTTTGGGTGCAAAGCCTGATGTTTGGGACTCCCAAAAGGACAGAGGAGGTGAAGACGATTTCCTTGCCTTGAGGCAGCTCATGATCAGTGCGGCAACAAGAACAGGTACAAAAATGAAAAGCCAAGGTGCCTCTGAGTGTGCATTATGGCTGCAAAGTTGCAGGGAAAGTGTGAGAGGTGTTTTAGCGACAGCTTTCTGGAGAACAGAGCATTCTAGGCTGGGTTTTAAAGTAACAGATTTAAATTCACAATGTGAGTTGAATACATCTACAATCCTAGAATCCAAGATTCTCCAAAACCCATTCTGTTCATAACTCATGTGGCTAACAACAACAACACCAAAATGACCTAATGAACTTTTTAGCGAACACTTGACATGAACTGATGTGAGGTTACTTACAATCTCTATTATCCCACATTGTGACTATTTCTAGACTTTTCTTCAGAAATATTAATGTGTTTGGTCACAGGGTGCTGCCCTAGACCCCACTGGTGGCATAGACCAGTTAGTTCTTGCTATGCAATGAGAGCCCCCTAAACTGATGGCAACAACCACCATTCACGATCTCTCTCTCACCATGAGACAAAGGGTTGATGGATTCACTTGGGTGGTTCTTTCGCCCCGCCTGGTGCACCTGGTGAGTTGTGGCCGTCTGGAGGCTCCCCTGGGCTGGGACTTCTGAGATGACTCACTCACATGGCTGGCAGCCAAGCCTGAGCTGGGCCTCTCACTGAGATGAATCAGGTCTCCACCACAACCTTCTCCATGTGACTCCTTCGGGCTCCTTCAACATGATAGTGGGATTTTGAGAGGCTGAACTCCAGAAGATTGAAGGAAAGCTGAAGCTTTCCTAGGGAACAGGCTCAGAGTCTACAGTGCCACTCACAATGTCTTCTAGTGGCCCAAACCGGTCACCTACCAGCCCAGACTGGAGGACGAGGGAAACCGACTCTATCTCTCAATGGGAGAAGTGGCAAAGGGTCTTGGCCGTTGTTAACCCATCACAGGATATTACATATTCCACGGAACAGGTACCATCTTCCCTTTGTAACATAAGCTGCATCTCCAGCCCCAGAAGTTTTGAGTAAGAGCTAGAGGATCCGTATGTCACCCCACTGGGTGCTTTTAGTCCCATGTGCACGTGGAAATACACCAGCACCATGGCCGGTACCTTCCACTGTTTCTCCTGAAAGAATGATGAATGCGTGAATGTTTCTTTTGACACTTGTTTATGTTAATATCCAAATGTCTTAATATAAATTTAAGTAATTCCAAGGCTATAGTTTTTTTTCTAATTTTTTAAAAATGTTTTTATTTATTTTTGAGACAGAGAGAGACAGAGCATGAACGGGGGAGGGGCAGAGAGAGAGGGAGACACAGAATCCGAAGCAGCTCCAGGCTCCGAGCTGTCAGCACAGAGCCCGGGAGTGGGGCTCGAACCCACGAACTGTGAGATCATGACCTGAGCTGAAGTCAGATGCTCAACCGACTGAGCCACCCAGGTGCCCCATCAAGGCTATAGTTTCAAACGTCCTGTAAATATTGGAAATTAAAAGCAAAACCTTAATATTTTCTCTTTTAAATATATCCAGTGCAATCCAAATTCCAAAATGATTTAATATCCACCATCAGCTATTTTTAAACTACATGAACAAACTCTTCTCTTACAGAAGTTTCATATCATTTCTTTTGCTCATTAAATTTGCATTTCCATTATACTTCTCTACAATATAAATATGGGCATGTATTTAAACTTAATTTTCTAAAATATCATGTGATATTTTAAATACCCTACTCTGCAGTTTGAATAATTACTTCTGGATTTAGTTATCATTACAATAATTACCATTGCATAAAGGAACAAAAATGAAAATGTCTCACAAATTTTGATAATTATAAGAAAGAACATAACATTTTATGGAAAAATGGATCTTTAGTGAGATGGGTAATTTTTTCTTCTTTTTCTTTTTCTTTTTCTTCCATTTTTTTTTGTTGTTGTTGTTGTTGTTGTTTATATGTCTCTGGAGGAAAAAAATCACTTATGGCTCAAAAAAAAAAAAAAAAAGATTCAGTCTCAATTCTGTTCCTATTTTTCTGTTTTATAAGTCCAAATGCTTAGAGAATTCATCCACACAAATAGACGGAAATGGAAGAAAACTGTTGTAACGATGTCACTCAATTCTTTGAATTCTTCAAAGCTACCCTCCAGAAATCATACTATAATCTATCATCAAAAATTACTTTTAATGTTTTATCAGCTGACAACCTAATTAAGTTCTTCTGCAATTTGGCTGAAAACAACAACAACAAAAAAGGTGGAAATCAATTTGACTTATTACCAAGTCATTAGTATGGACGTCTTACTCCATTTCTCAAAGTGTCCCTCTCTGAGACAGGCACCATGGGAAGATCAAGGAATGATGACAGGAGGCCTTTGTTCAGTAACACGGCTTTTCCTTCCCTCAATGGCTGAAGAACCAGATCTTTTGGGCGAGTGGAAGTCACAAGGAGTTGGGAGGAGGGGGGTAAGGAGCGTGCTCTCTGAGTCTATGAGTCTCTGCCCCACACCAGGAAAATCAGCTTAATATTTACACTTTATTAAGTAGAGCACTTCCAGGAGAATAGCTCCCTGGTTGACCAACAAGCCCAGGGTGTTTGGAGGAAAAGGAAAACCAGGTCAGTATGTTGAAGGGAGGGATACAGAATCAGTTAATGCAGTTTAGTTTCTTTTGGAAAATTCTTAACAAATTTACATCGAAAGTTGCAGGTAACTAAATTAAATATTTTACACTAGCAGAAATACAAAATGAGTCTTCATGCCTGGAGTCTAGTAGTAGAACAATAAATGTTTCTGAATGAATGGGATTGTTGGAAATGATCTAGATTCTTTCTGGGGGAATAAGTTTCTGAAGTCATCAGATTTAATATTTTTATGGTATCTGAAAGAAGGAGTTTGTGATTTTCATGTTACCTTCAACCCCAAATCATGAATGTAGCCTGAAACTCTCTAAGTGGGCCCGGTGATAGTAGATGAATTTTAATTAGCAAGTGTTATACAACAATGCTTTTGTATACAACAATACAAAATACAAATTTTGTGTATAGGAAGATGGAGTCAGATTATTAATAATTCAATGCTGCAGGTAGAAGTTTCCCCTTGAATTTTGAAACAGAATAGACATAACATTGACATAAAAAGACCAATGTTCTTAAATATACGAGAAAGAAACTTTAAAAACATATTCTCCCACAAGGTGACTGTGGAAGCAAAAACTAGCTATGAACCCCAAATGGTGCTCCTTCTTCCACAATTTAATTTGGAGATTTTTTTTGTAGGTGGTTGCCCAACTTAGAATGTTTTCCAGATCAACTTCATACCCAGGTCTGGCCATGAACCAGTTCTCCCGATTGAGATATGAAGGGAAGTGATGTGTGTCACTTCTTAGCTGGGTACTTAGAGGCACATGAGCCCTCTGAACTGTCTTCTTGCCCTTTTGCTGGTTGGAAACAATACTTTGAACTATCAGAGCTCCCAGGGTTCGTGGCCCCACGAGATGGAAAGTATTAAGGTCTCTGAATCACAAGCTAGAAAAAAAACTACCTACTGACCAGGAATTTTTCATCAGATTATTACATGAACAAGAAAGAAATCCCATCATATTAAACGACCAAAATGTTGGGTTTCTTTGTTACAGCAGCTAGCATTGCCCTAATAAAACAGACAAATAGATTGGTAATATACATACACAGATCAAAACCCACTTCAGTAAATTAATGCATGGTGGGTTTCTGTTTTATACTTAAGAGAATATACAATGTCTATATTCAAGGGACCATAAGGTATCTGTGTGCTGACATTTTTCCTATCGACTTTAGGGGATTCAAACATGCCTGTTTACTATCAGGACTCCGTTCGTATATGTTGACTTTTCAAACACCTGCAATTAAAAATGTTGAAACTTGCAAAACGAAACTATGGATTTTATCACATCTTGAATAATTATTTGGAAAATGTTGTCATTCCAGCAGGTCTCCAAAAAAAGTCCAGACGGCAGCATGTGGCGTTACTGAAGTGATTAAGAGTTAGCAGCAAGGTCAGAATGATGGTGTTGAATGAGGCGAGGAACAGTTGTTCTCATTGTGGCGTCTGTTAATTGCACGGGGGCGGTGTTGCCGCGGGCAGACACATCAGCCTCTGCGACTGGCAGCGGGGGAGCCTGACTGGCCGGAGCCACCACCAATCCGTCCTCATCCAGCCTTCCTTCCCCAAGGCCAAGGTTATTGATGCTGTCACAGGCGCACTGAGAGCCTTTATCAAACTTCTGTTCAGAGCCCACTGATCACACGGAGTCAGCAACCTTCCCCACAATTTATACAAATGACTTTGAATATGTTAGTTTTAACGCTGATTTAAAAAAAAAAAAAAGAGGAGCTTGTTGAAGTCTTCATACTTTTATTTGGGGAAAAAAAGAGGAGTAGAAAAAAGAACACCAATCTTTCCTTTCTAAAACTACCTTGTACTAAACAGGAAAGAAATCAAATAGCATTTGAATCGGGTTTGGTTGGACAGCCCACTCCCGGGGTGCAGATGTTCAGTTAACAACCCTTCTGAAGTTTGCTTCACCTTTGAAGAAGTCAGTGTTGATTACTCTCTGAGAAAATCACATGCAACATACATGAGAGTTAGGCAGAGTGAAAGCAAGTTCTAATTACTCACATACTCCTAAATTCGAAACCATTAAGAATTCTCCTAACATGATGATTACAGTCAAACAATCTTAAGGAGGGGCAAGACAACATCATCAACTCAGCCCAAATTTCAGTCTGTAATCCAAATGTTTTGTTTACATGCTGCCAAACTTTCATCTTTCAGATTTTTTAAAAACTTGAATTGATGTAAAGCTTTGACCGTATTGACCTGATGCTTCACAGGCTCTTCTCTCCTTATGTGAATAATCAGCTATGCAAAGAGTTGGATAATTACAGAATCTATCCATCAATTTTCACTATAGATTGTTGCGGAAACGCCCCCCAAATCTCTGGTTTATCTCTCGCTCACGTTCGATGCCATTGCTGGGTCAGCTTCGTGTATCTTCATTCTAGGACCAAAGCTGGAGGAGTAGCCTCCCTTGGGACATGCCATTGTCATGGCCAAAGGGAAATAACAAGGCAGGGGAGGCAGACATCCAACGGCTCTTAAAGCTTCTGCGAAGATGTAGCCTACATCCTACAGCTCACACAGGCAGCTGGCAGAGGACTCCCACAGTACAAAGGAGCCAATAGCTGCCAACAAAAATACCAGCTATCAGTGCACTCTCTTGGTCACATATATTCATTTACCCCCCTCTGCACAAAATATGCGTCATCCTCTTGCAGAGGAAATTACCCCCCAAGTCCCGTTCACTCTGACTCCAGGATTTCATGTAGTCTCTCCATCAGATCTGTATCCGACTCTCCTTGATCTGGTTACCTATGAACTACAACAACAACAACAACAGACAGTGAGTTATCCTGGAGGAAAAATGCTACAGGAACTATTTGCATTTCTAAAGGTGAAGTCCTGTTCAGGACCGCTGGGCAAAATTTGCCCTCTTCCCACCCTGAGGTGGGCCACTGCATTTCTTTAATACTTTACAAGAGTTGTGAATATTTACACAGTGTTGGAACTTTATTTCTCTCCCCAGTGCTGTCGAAATGCAGAAGGGTTCTTAGCAAGTGCTACGGTTATCTTTTAGAACTCCTTAGTCTGACCTTGGAATGTTTCCCCAGTTGTGGCCGGGTATGGTCTGCCGAAGATTCTCTCCTCCTGCTAATGTTATGATGATACAGAAGACTGACATATTCTGCATGGCACAATTGTCCAATTATGTAACCTTGAATGTCTAAGGGGAAATTTTGCGATCACTTCCAGGCAATGATGAGTGATTTTTGCTTTTTGTCTTAATATGTTCCGGGCTCAGAAGTAGAAACGATAACTCCCTGGAGTCCCTCTCTTTCCATTTCGTATCCAGACTGAGGAACAGCCGTGTCCCTAGACCATGGAGAAGGCTGGCAGGCACGGACGGAATCCAGAGCAGAGGGTGAAAGACTGAGGCTTGTATCCCAGTTCAGGCAATTCCAGGTTCCAGAATCAGGACTGTCAAACCCAGAGACCGACTCTTAACTTGGAGTGCTGGACAGTGTAGATTAACTTCTATTATTTTCTCTTTTCCCTTTTCCAATTATGCACTCTTTTATCTTCCCCCGGCAGGCAGCTATGAGAAGACCCCTAAGTCAGACATAACCTTGGCTTAGAATTCAAACCCTAAAGAAACACAACAAGGGCCCCGTTCCATGAAAGCTGTAGGTAGAACTCAACTCTGGTAGATCGTAAGGTCAGAGATAACCACAGAATGTGGGTATCGGGGAAGGAGCTCTTCATCTGGCTTTCCCCCTATTTCTGACGCTTAATAAACACAGAAGATGCATTGACACAAGGCTGATTTTATCCATAAACTTGAAGTGAGTTGCAAAGTCCATGCCTCCTAATTAGGCTCAGATGACTCAGCAGAAATGAAAAGACCTGTTTCGAGCTTCTCTGTTGTAGGCAGGGCACCGGGGTGCAAGGGCCCCCGACTCCGGGGCTCGCAAATAGACCCGCTTCGGCCACTTGTTGCTGACGAAATCCAAGGGCAGAGACACGGGAGGTGGTGGAACATGAAAGGAATTCACTTCCGAGAGGCTGACACCAGCACCGGGAAGACAGGGGACTAGGGTCTCAAAGACCGTCTCCCAAGTGCAGAAGACACTTGCCGGTTTGTATAAGGAACACGTGGGGCGAAGGTGGGTGGGTACCTGCAGGCGGGCAGTGAAGGTCAAGCCCTTCATTGTGTTGGACTCCATCACTGGCAGGGCCTTGCTGGCTCCTTGTTGGATCCAGTGGTTTCGGTTCCCAGCAGGGGATGCCTTGCCCTCAGGGTCTTGTGCCTGAGCCTGGAGACCAGCTGGAAAGGAGAGCCCAACCAGGAAGTTCAAGGTCCAAGTGGAGGCAGCTGAAGTCCTCTTTCACTGTCTCCTCCTTTCTGGTCCCGGGCATTTCCCCCTTAAACGGCCATCTTCTTTCCCACCACCACCTGCCCCCAGCCCTCATCACTTTGCAAGCATCCTGGTCCCTCCGGACAGCCCATGAACCTCAGCGTCCCTGGAGAAGCAGACCTTCCTAGAGACCACCCTCCCCCCGCCCTCGAGCCGTCAGAGTGAGAACTCCCTGAGCATCCAGAGCTCACACTCTGCCCCAGAGTCTGATTGACCCCCTCGGTGACACCAACCTTACGATGTAGCCTTTTCTTCAGCTCAGCCACCCCCTAACGTGTGCTGTTTTTCCGCTGTCGACTGTCAAGGCGACATTTTCACCAGTGCTTGCTCTGTGAATCTTTCTACCGTCTGGGGCCAAAAGCAGTAAAATGCTGACATAACCTCAGTGTTAAATACTGTTCAGCCCTTGTAATGTTTGCATTTTAAAGGGGACCGCAGAGAGAGCCGCGTTCCCCGCGTGGATTTAAGGCTCACGCTCAAGAGGAGATGAGATATTCTGCAGTTGGGGATTTTTTTTCCAGGGAGCCCTCATATCAAGACTGATCTGTTACATTCTGCTTTATCCATCCATCCACAACCAAAGATTACTGAGCACTGAATACAAGCTAGGCACTGTTTTTAGGACAAAACACATAAACACACGTGCCCTTAGGGAGCTTACTTTCTAGTGAAAGCATTATTTTACTAATAAAAGTAAAATATATAGTTTATTATAAGGAGATAGGTGTCCGGGGGGGGGCAGGTGGAGCACAGTTGGCTGACTTGATGTGTGGGGAGAGGGGGTGAGATTTTAAAAGGGAACCATCGGGCTTGAAGGAGGCGAGAGACTAGAATGAAAAATCTGACTCCATATTTGATGTTTGCTGGGATTTGCTGGAAGCTTCCAAGCCTTACCTCCTCAGTTTCTTCCCCTTCTGCCCCACGTGTGGGTGGGACTGTGATGCCAGGGGCAGGTGCACCACACGAGCCCCGAGCCCCCCTGGAATGGGCTGTGCCACCCCCATTCACACAGCCGTGCACTCAGACTGTCTCCGCACTTGCCATAATGCCCTGCTCCCGACATCTGGGAATTTTGAATCATTTTTGAACATGGGGCCCCACAGTTTCATTTGCAATGGGTCCTGCCATTCATCTAGCTTGCCCTTCCTCCCAGAGTCTAGCATCAAACACAAACCTGGCCTTGCAGGTTGTTAACAAAAGCAGCACTTTTTAACTTGCGAGATCATTGTAATGACAACTTTTGAGATTCATTCTGGGAAAACTGTAGGGTCACATGTGTTGTAGGAAAAATCTTCAGACAGATTCCCAGGATAGGCTTTCTTTTGTTTCTTCTAACAGTAACATTTTGCATCAAATATATCTTTTTTTTTTTTTTCAAGATGTGAGGAAAGAGCATATTTTCCTTAACAGCTTGTTAGTTGCATTTATATTTTAAATATTTACTCAAGGGGGCCTGTGGGTTCTGTTCGTTGTGTCTGCAAATGTTAGGATTCCAGCCATGACCGGGACCCTCTGCCCAAAAACTTTCAAAAATACTCTACACCCTTCCATTTCTCCTCTCTCCTCCTCTCAGACACTTGCCCCTCTGCTGTGAAGCTGCGGCCATCTACACAAAAGGGCAAACCCAGCAGGCGACTGTCATTTAGCTGACCTCTTGGCAGTTATCAGCGGACCTGATTTCTGTCTCTCCCTGGACCTGCTTCCTTCTCCAAGCTTCCAGGACACTGAGAAATCCCGATTTTCCTCCTATCTCATTGGGCACTCCTGCATCCGGTTTTGACTTCTCCCCACGCCTCCTCCCCACCACTCCACCGCCCCACCCCCCACCTTTCTGAGCCCCAGGGATCACTCTGCACTGGCTCTTCCCCACCCAGTTCTCATCCCTTCCAAGCATCTTGGAACTGAAGCCTCCCCAACTCCCCTTGTGAATTTCAGACTTGTACATCCCAGCCGCCTTCCAGAGGAATACATTGTATCATCACTTTGTTCCCAGAGAATTTCATTCCTTTTTTTTTAATGTTTATTTATTTTTGAGAGAGAGAGAGAGAGACAGAATCCGAAACAGGCTCCAGATTCTGAGCTCTCAGCACAGAGCCCAACATGAGGCTAGAACTCTGAACAGTGAGGTCATGACCTGAGCCCAAGTTGGACACCCAACTGACTGAGCCACCCAGGCGTCCTGAGAATTTCATTTCATAAACCAAGATTAAAGGTGGCACGACCTTATTAAAAGGATGGAGATCACATTAAGCAGTAATTTCTTGACCCATTTTGCTGATCGTTGCCCAACAACTGCTAACATTTTCTGTTTTTATGTTGTTTACAGTCATCTGTAGCTTTTAACATTTGATTTAAAATTTATTTTGAAATGCCTTGCAAATCGAATCAGTTCATAAAATACTGCAAAAGCTGTCTTTTTCTTCTCTTTCGGCTTATTCTTCTAAATTAAAGGCCAGACCAAGTGGTTCCTTTTTACATATATGAAGCCTATTTCAACGTCAGTACTCCAACTGGACCTTCTAAATTGATGGTTTAGATTAGTGGGAAACTATCACTCAGTGTAATTCAACTAATCTGTGCTCATGTGAAAGCCTTGCTCAAAGCCCACGTAGCTCTCTCTGCTCAGCACCACTGCCTACATGGGGCAACCAGTTACCTAGAATTTCTAATCCGTCAGGAAAACGGTTTTTCCACTAAATGGGGAACAGATATAATTGAGGTGGGTAGACCAGTTGAAAGTGCTTTCTGTGGAAGTGAAAAATTGTTAAATGTCGGCACTCTCATCTGGTTTAATCTCGTATATATAGGAAACGCCACATGATGAAATTGCTAACCAGCAGAACAACTCCGAACAAAGGCAAAGAAAAGCAAAATAAACAAAACAAGGATGAGACATAAGACAATGCAGGCAACACCCCAACCATGAGTGGGGGCTCCTTCAAAGCCAGAGCCAGCATGGTTTCCAAGGACGCTCCTCGGTGGCGGCCGCCCTCCCCTCGAGCACCTCTCCAGACGTGTGCTTCAGGGAAAATGGGAGTCAAAACTCTAGAGAGGGGCGCCTGGGTGGCACAGTCGGTTAAGCGTCCGACTTCAGCCAGATCACGATCTCGCGGTCCGTGAGTTTGAGCCCCGCGTCGGGCTCTGGGCTGATGGCTCAGAGCCTGGAGCCTGTTTCCGATTCTGTGTCTCCCTCTCTCTCTGCCCCTCCCCCGTTCATGCTCTGTCTCTCTCTGTCCCAAAAATAAATAAAAACGTTGAAAAAAAAAATTAACAAAACAAAACAAAACAAAAACTCTAGAGAAACCCAACCGATAAAGACCACATAATCATAACAAGAGGACTTACTGCCTTTTCAGGTGAACATAAAGATAACCTGTGTTCATTGTGAAAGTTTTAGAAAATA